TGTAGAAGCAGGGAGATCTTTGCATTTCAGGTTCTCAGGTACAGCTTTTTCTATAGCAAGGAGAACAGTGAGCAGCACATTAATGAAACCACCAAACCTTACTCCAACTTTTTTGAGTCTAGCAGTGTCTTGGATTACATTCATAAAAGTGCACAACTATTTTTCAGGAGGAATTCGGGACAAAGGGTAGATTTTACAGGGTGCTACTTAGACACAATTACCTTTTTCATATATTTGCTCTAAGATAGCAAGTTTTCATTCTTTCAGTCAGGTTCATTTTCAAACGGATTTTTTTTTTCATTTGAGAATTAGTTGCACTGTTCCTGTTGAATATTGAAGAAAACAATTACCGGTTCGCTGGGTTTCTATATTTTTCAAGTCAACAAGAAGAATTACTTGAAAACTGTCTATATATTGGATTACCACACCACATTAGCATTGAAATAAGAGTTGCGATGGGATAGCTTGTCTTGTAAGTTGATGATCAAGAAGAGGAAATGCTTAGCTGGGTTTACAGTAGGGTGGCAATTACAGAGAAGAGAACATATCTACAGGGATTAAAATCCTGCTTGGTGTAGCCATCCAATTTTTTTTGTAAAGTTAGAAAAATCATGGCCCTTTGCCAAAGGGATCCTAGTCTGGCACATCAGACATATAGCATGGACTAGTATTTCTTTAGCAGAAGAGTGTGAATGTGTGGAATCCTGTTGTGTTAATTCCCTTACTGAACATACAGCTGTTCTTTAGTTAAACAACATTAGTGTCCCCTAAATAAGAATAAATGTAAAATGACTGGAATCTACCTCCACTTGTGTTTGCACAACAGTGGTTTGTTTAATGCCATTTTGTGCCAAAAAGTTGTTTTCATTGTTAGAATATTCAAGTAATAGACTACTTCCCCATATCACAGAATGCTAAGAGTCAAAATCTCTGCATTCAGCAACATAACAGACCTAACACAGGATAAATATGTTACCTGGAACAGACCAAACCGGCTGGAACTCACTAACAATTTTGGATCATCAAAGCTATTTTCTGCTCGAGGTTGGCAAACAATTTTTATGTTGATTAAACCAAGCACAGCATCTTAAAACTGGTCATTAGCATTTCTGGAACGAAAATGCATTTTTATAGATCATTTGTTCATTCATCATTTATAATACAGTATTTAGAAGTTGTTTTCCATGAACACCCTCAAGTTGCTTTGCGGTAGAGAAAATCATAGAAGAAATAAGAGAAAAAAAGAATTCTGTTTTTGTTACACTTATTGCATTTTCCCTAGCCTAAGGACTAGCACTTTTCTAGCTCAATGATGGTACTAAAATCACCTGAAATTAAATGTCAACTAATAGAGATCATTAGAGATGCCTTCCTATGGTGTAAGCTACACAGTGTCATGTAGTAGTGATTAATCACATATAGTTGCAGTTGGCCATCAAAAGCAATTAAACACTTTTTCTACAATTAGAGATTGTCAGATACCTTTCTGTGATAAATCAACTAAGAATAAACTAAGAATTCATAATGTATTTTAAGACTTAGGCAACTTTTATATTTATATTATTATTCACACACTGCATAGATGACCTGTTCAGTTGTGTATACAGTTAGGCTTAAGCTATCGATCTCTGTAAACATCTGTTTTTTTTGTTTTGTTTAGCAAAGCAGTTAAAATTGGCCTGGGAAAAAATGTGAAGAGTCTTTTGAGCTTTACTTGCTGCCTGTGAAATATTTATATTTGATATTTACCTGTATGTATGACAATATTGGTCCCTGTTGTACTACCTTCATTTTAAATCATTGTCTCATAAACTAAGAAATGTTTGAATATTCATTAATGAAGTCATTGGTGTGACGATCCAGCCAGACCCCAGCCCTTCTCACCAAACTCGTGACCGAAGGACTAGTCAATCTAAAACCGCGCTGTCACGTGCGTAACAATGCCACGCCCAGCTGCACCTTGCACACAGATTTTCCAGCTAATGGACCACAACCTGTGTACCTGCAGCCTGGGAGCGATTGTTACTGGGTCAGGTTAATTACGCAATTAACCCTTCACACTGCCACCACCTCTTTTTTGTACAGAGAAAGAGGAAACTCGGCAATATCAGCAATAACACTATGATGTTTGAATAAGCGTCGGTATACCACTGTCACCGCAGGCAGTGATATACCGAAGTTTAAAACACATACAAAGTAGCGCTTTTAAGAGGCAGGGGTTCTTCAGTTTGCATTAAAGAGCTTTAGAAACAGTTCAGCACTTTCAGAACGTAAGATTTATTACTAAAAGGTCAAAAGGGTGCAATAAAAATATTTACAGAAAAAGATGTAGCCAATATATATAAATATACAGAGAACAATAGCACAGCAAAGAAATACCAGAAAGGAATTTAGGGAGGTAAAGTACTTGCCAAACGTCCTGGTTTACGCAGATCAGGTTTCATGAGCCAAAAAGATGCTTTATCTCCCAAAGTTAGTTCCGATGTTAAAAAGGGAGATTCTTCAACTTTTTCTCAACGCAGCTTAGCTTAGCTTTTTCTAGGAACTCCACAGGGTGTCTCCCCGAAGCAGAGAACCAATCGCCTCATTTGGGGAGGGGGTTGTGTAGGCGGGGAGCTCAGGCTATGACCAAAACTCTCACAGTTGATGTCATGGTTCATAACTTATTCTCTGTGCATTTAGCAGCCTTGCCACTAGTAGATTAATATGCAGACGCATCTGCTGAATGGTTAGATATGAAATATGACATATCTGCTTGAATGGTTCAGGAGATATAATTTTCTGCTCTCCTGTATATGCCAGCTAGGGGGTGTAATATACCAGGCGACTTGTCTTAAAGTGAGCCGTCCAAATATGTGCTTCCTGTTTATGTAATTATGTCCTATTTGAAGATATAAAATTATATGGAAAAGTGAGTTTTTAAATATAAGTCTGTTTTTTACGACTACCTGGAATGCCTTTCAGCTCAGTGAAGGACTTGGTTTATGGCTTTACGATATCCCAGATTGAGAAGTTAAACAGACATCTAGGCCCCAGCTCGGTTGGGGGTTTTATAGCCATGAGTTTGCTGCCCGTGATCTCTGCAACAAACAGACCACATGTCACTCAACAGAGAGGGAGGGGGGATGTTGGAGGAATCTGATTTGGGAGAGAAAATGATACAAAATGGAAGATTCTTAACAAGATGGATGACCGCGTCCATCTCTGTATGCACAATTGCTACAATTGGTATCAAGGTTTTGAAATGTACTTACTTTATAGTCAGGACTAAATGCATTCAAAAATATTTAATTTGTTGATCAGGTAAATATGAAACAGTGTATATGAATATTACTGATTCTTGTATTCAGCAGCTGGAGCTTTAGGCTCTTACAAACATTTCCAGAATCTACTTTGCTCTTTTGTTGTATAAACACCTTTAAGGAAATATTTCTTGCAGTGCTTTCTGTTTAGCATATCCCTAGGGTTGTGGGAAACCATTGTTATGTATTTAATGCTTTTTTATAAATTAAAGAGGTGCTCCAGGCTCCCCCCAAAACAAAAAGTCAGCAGCTACAAATGATGACTTTTAATATAAGTCCACTTACTTGTACAGGGCTCCAGCGCCGTCATCACCTGGGCTAGTTCTTCACTAACCTCTGGGTTCCTGGAGTCAGCATTGCAAGTAAGGGAAACTGGAAGTGAAGCCTTCTGGCTTCACAGTTGGTATCTTACTTTGCATGTGCCTTGTGATTGGTCTCGTAGTCTTCTGCGTTCTGTGAAGTGTCTCAGAAGACTGCGGCGAGCAGGGAAGACTTACAGCAACGAACGGAGCTGAACGCGGGAGCAGGTATCTGTTAAAACCAGGTACCCCCCAAGTGCCAAATGTGGCAGTGGAGGGGGGGTGAGTGCAAACAAGTGGAGCTTCCCCTTTTGCATGGAGCTCCGCTTTAACAACAGTTTAAACATTTAAGAGGTCATTGTTGCCTACATTCAGTAAAGTGAGTTCACATCAGGCAACTTAAGAATAACTTTATGACTAACAACATTATCAATAATTTGCGCAAATATTTTTTTTTTCTAATTTTAATTGAAAAGAATATAGCAACAGCTATGACCTTGTGGTGTGTAAATAATAATAAATTGTCAGAGTGTAGGGATTCGCATGTAAAAGGAGAAATGGAGAATGCAAACAAAATATCAGATTTTGACAAGCAGATGAATAATCATTAACTATACAAGTGTAGGGTGTAGGAATACTGCAAATATCAGTCAGTGGTACACACAAAAGGCAGTGTCACAGATTAACTGGTCAAAATCGATAGTTCAGCCTCTTCTGCAGTAGAACTTGCTTAGCAGTGTGGGTGGAGGAAATGGAAGGAAATCAGTGGTTGAGGAAGGTATAAGGAGCGAGTCATTGTGAAGAAAAGGAGAGAAGGAGGAAGGAACCAGTACTGAGAAGGAAAAGGTGAAAGGGGTAAGAGAAACTAAAGGAGGGGAAGGAAAGGGAGGTCTTCATAGTGGACAAGGCGGTCGCTAAGGGGACTATCTATAAGTCCAACATATAATTACATTTTATACATATTTTAAGGACATACTGTATAAGGTTTGTATTTGGTACTCTGTTTTAATTTAAAAAAAATACCTGCTTTGTTTTTTATTTTGGGTTGACATTTGTTTATTATTATTTATTAACCACTTGCCCACCAGAGGATTTACCCCCCCCCCCCCCTCCGCCCCTTCCTGACCAGGCCATTTTTTGCATTACGGCGCTGCGTTACTTTAACTGACAATTGTATGGTCATGCAATGTTGCACCCAAATTAAATTGACATCCTTTTTTCCCACGAATATAGCTTTTTTTTTGTGGTATTTGATCACCTGTGCGTTTTTAATTTTTTGCACTATAAAAAAAAAGTCTGACAATTTTGAGAAAAAAACTATATTTTTCACTTTTTGCTATTAAACATGTCCAGTAAAAAAATCTTAAAAATCAAATTTCCTCATAAATTCAGGCAAAAATGTATTCTGCTACATGTCTTTGCTTAAAAAAATCCCAATATGTGTAAATTAATTGGTTTACGTTAAAGTTATGATGTTTAAAAAAAGTATAGATACTGGAATTATTAATTTATTTATGTATAACATTTTTACTAGTAATGGCGGCGATCATCGACTTATAGCAGGACTGCAGGACTGCGGCGGGCATTCTGACACTGGGGGGGAACTGACTTGGTGTCACTGACATACCCAGTGACACCAATACAGTGATCAGTTCTAATAAAAAGCACTGACACTGTACTAATGGCACTGGGCAGGAAGGGGTTAACGTGTGGGGGCGCTCAAATGGTTAACTGTGTGCTGTTTTACTATGGGTTGTGTGTTAGTGCTTCACTGTAAGCACACTGCTTTGCATGACTGTGTTGTGCACAGCCATTCAAAGCAGTGTGCACGAGCTGACAGGGGAGAGAGCTGTTTTGCTTACTAACAGTTCTCCCCTCCTTCGGAGATTCTCGGCAATCACCGGCTGGGACCCGGTGATTGACAGCCGTGGCTGGCGCTGCAGGTAGGGTGCGCGTGCGCCTCTCACGTGCCCTCTACCTGGTATTGCAAAATCACGTATATATATGGGATTTTGTGCACTCGTGCCACCCTGTAGCAGTACTTCTGCTATAGGGCGAATGGGAAGCGGTTAATGAAACGGTATTTGTAACACTATTTGCACTGCAACAATAAACACTAAAATCAACTGATGACAGTGTTCATCTGCAAGGTGAAGGCCTTCATTTTTGTAAGCGAAGCTTCCAGCCTGCGTGTGACTGCATAACATAGTGATCACATGCTTAGAAACCACTCTGATTGTTTCCTGATTGTCAGGGAAGACCCCGACTGTCAGTAACAGCTGGGATTGCAAGGCAGCAGCTGTGGAAATTCTTAGAAATATATATGACGCATTGTACAGGAAATGATAATATCTAGATTTTAGGCAGTAAGACCTGGTTTACACCAGTACAACTTATCACGGACTTGACAGATCAAAGTTGCAAGATGAGTTGCACCCCATTTGCAGCAATGGAACCATTCACAGCGCTGCGACTCAAGTCTTCAAAGATTCCTGCACTATTTATGTGTGGCTTCATTGCGAATTGCATTGACATCTGTTAAATGACGTTTCACAGATGTCAGTAGGCTGCATATGAAATTGTACTGATAGTCGGCTTTAAAGTCGTGCTGAAGTAGCGTGACTTCAAAGCTACACAGGTGTTAACCTGGGCTAAGGGGTTAAATATGAAAAAAACTTGCAAAAATAAAACTACCCTATAATGGGTAACTCTAATGGTTTTCTTTTCTTTTTTAAGTTTTGTTTGTTATGTTTTAAAGAAGAATTATTTGTTTTTAGTTAATACATTTTTAACTGTGCTACATTCGAGAATAGACAGGGGGGATGAGTCACCTTCAGTTGTGTGTGTAAATATATGCTTGAGCTGCTGAGCTCTGTAAATTACACACGTTTTATACAGTGCAGGTAAGGGTGGATAGATAAATATGTGATATGGTGACGAGCTCTGCTTTCTGCGTGTAAATGTTCATATGGAGTATTTAAATGCAGTATTTATTATTTAATTGATAACATTTTTTTTTTTTTTTTTTTAAGTTTAGTCCCAAACTTAATAAGGGAAATATAAACAAAAACAAATTTCTTTTAGTAAAAACTGGAAGTGTATATTCTTACTAATCCATTAAACTGTGAACCAATTCGCTAGAAGTGCTGCTTCATTTTGTTCTTCAGATCAGTCCATCTCTAGCAGTTTGTAGCTTCGTTTTAGCGTATATTTGTTGGCTTTACATGTCGGAATATTTCCCATCTGTCAGCTCAAATAAATGTTGCTTCATGTCAAAAGAGGGACTATTTTTTGTACTGTCATATTTTGTGTGTAAACCTACATTTGCTAATGCTTTTGGACTGTAAACTCTTGCTTGATTACTTCACTTCAGCAGTGTTATTGTTCTTTATTTCTGGCATTTTGCGTTTCCTGTCCCCTGGAACTAAGTTGTATTCATGTATTCATCAACACCAACCTAGCCACTGTGGAATCAGGAGCAGGTTCTCAGATTGTGGCAGTTCAAAGAGGTAACATGACATGATTTATAAGCACTGACAATACTGGGGTGACAGAACATGTAACATTAATGTGGAAAACAACAAGATATATATAGATATGTATGTATCTACAGAGGCATGTCAGTTTAAAAAATACTGTTAGTGGTTGTAATAACCTATGGTATTTTCTCCCAGGAAACAGATGAAAAGGATAGAAAATATTATAATTATAATGGCTGTAATATGCTTTACCTACTCTGTGAAATACAAAGTCTTTTGAAACCTGCAGCATTATGTGTAACAATTTTCATGTTTTCTGATATAATTATTTTTGGCAGCCTCTGTGATAGCAAATTGCAGACAGTGGATATTGTCTTTTTTATTGTGGCTTGTATTAGATATTATTTTTACAGCAGTTCCTCCTTTTCTGAAGCTTATCTAGTTTGGTGAAGAGGTTTAGCAATACGTTCCACAGTGTTGTTTACCTAACTTGGGAAAAGGTGTAGTTATATGTAAGCAAAATTGTGATGAAAAAAAGCACCTGGCCCAAATTATTTTCTTTGAAATGTGTTAAAGGAAAGGAACATAATAGAATATAGGCCACTTAAAGTGTTATTAAACCCAGGACCCTGCATTCACTATATCTAGTCTCCCACAATACACAGTACTTATGAGTTCGGGATCACTAGAGTGCAGGATAGAGACAGGTTATTTCTTGTGTGGCTATGTTGGCATTTTTTAACATCTGTTGCTGTCAATAGAGAATGATGCTATGTACTTGTGATTTGATTTGTGGAAGTTAAAGTGTTACTAAACCCAGGACCCTGCATTCACTATATCTGGTCTCCCACAGTACACACAACATGGAAATGCAATTATTTTAGTAAACATAAACTGCTAAATACCTTTTCTCATCAGCAGTATATAGCAATCTTGTGACTTCTATTAGTGTCCAGCAGAGCACTGCTTAAAGCTTGTAGGAGGAGTTTTCATTCTCCTCTAGGAAGATGCAGAACCCCTGACCTCTGTTTGGACAGTGCTGATTGGCCTGTGCTGATCACATGCACTCTCAAAAGAAAAACAAAACTCTCTAGCAATACACAGCAAACTGAGCATGTGCAGCTTGCCCCCAAACCTATGTTTTTTATTAGATATTTAGGAGACACTGGAAGAAGGGGAGGATCAGAGAAGACAGGATCAAACATCCTTTTTAAAAAGTGAGGAGGAATAACCCCTTAGGTTCCACAGTGAGAATAACAAGCATGCTTTACTGCATATACAGACTGCTTATACTGTTGTTGGTTTAGTAACACTTTGCGTTTGGTCAGTTCTATTAGCATTGCAAATAGCTGATGCTCTGTTATTAGTTACAGCTGTATTACAGGTAGATACCAAAATGATCTTGCTAGCCAATACATTGAGCTTTATATGTAACAAGTACAAGAATCTGATTTTTCCCTGATACCAGCCTTCTCCAGACCCCTGTAATAGCAGCAGAGAGAGAGAGGAAGTATGAGCACTAGAGGCCAGCCAGACCCTTCTACAGTACACATGGGCAACCATTATAAATACTGACTGGAGAAGAGAGTACAGCAAGGGCACTTTGTGCTCCTCCTGCTCATTCAGTGTCCAATAAGCAGGCTGGGAGTGTGTTCTAGTAGAAGCTGTGGTGTTACTGCTGTAATTGAAGTGGAGGATGTGGCTCTGTTATCTGCCTATATTACATTATTACCTGAGAAGCATCTCAAGGCCTTTGGGAGGTAAAATAATTCCAAATGTGTATTTTAATGCTTACTTGGAGTTCAGCTTTAAGAAAGCTAAAATGCTAGATGTAGGAAGTCAAATGTTGGAAAATCAGTGTGTACCCTTAAAGAATATGTACCCCCATTTAATATTGCTTGTATAGTATGTGTGTTGTACCATGTACTTGTGCTAAAACATTTCCTGTTCTCTTTGTATTGCTCCCTTTGGGCAGAATTCCTGGTGATCCTGCCAGTCCCTCTGCTTTTCTATTTTAAATTGATCACACTAGGCATGGTAGCACATCCATCTTAGACTCCATGCACACTGGGCTTAAAAAAAAACACCAGTTCCCTTGGCAGAAAAAAATGCTGCTATAGAACTCTTCTGTACAAAGTTTAGACAAGTTCAGCATTTTTTGTGCCAGAAAGCACCTATCAAAAACGCAAACCAGAAGTTTTTTTTTCCTGACTCGAAACGTTGAGGTTAAAATATGACTCTAATGGTCCTAATGTGCATGGACACATGGGGTAACATTGAGCTGCTTCTATAGGCAAAACACCTGTAGAAGCAGCAACTTTAAGGCAGTGTGCATGGACCTTTACCATGGTCAGTTTTCTGGCTGTGCAGGAACCACAGTCTCCCTGTCCTCCAATGATCAGACCTGTGCTAACACCCCCCCCCCCCCCCCCCCCCCGCACAGCCATTCACCCGTGTAAAGAAGGCTTTGTCTACAGTACAGACAATGTATAGAAAAAAAAAAAGGAAGATCCAAGCAATCCAACTTCATCCTTTGTATCAGTTGTTACGTTCAGGTATGATAGAGACAGATCTTTTAGAATCCTTACAGAGGGGTAATTTCCATATTCAGGGTGGTGCCCCTGTTTTTTTCAACTGATAGATAAAACTTGGATTGTGATCAAGGCTACATTAGGGATAAAGAGATTTAGCTCTTTTTTACCTATTTGGGGTAACTTTGTATAAGGAAGTGGCAAAGTTGGAGTAATTTGCCATTTTGAAAAATGTAGCATTTTTCAATGTGCACAATTGCTTTATAATGAATCTTTAAAGTCACTTCCACAACTAAAGGAAGATTTTTCTATGTCTTAGCAAGGTTATTCACAGGTTTACAATTGCGTCATGCAATAAGCTCCCAAGACAAAGTAACACCTATGATACATTATAAATTACCAGTTATAAAGGATGTGGTGATGTTTGATCACAATAATGGTGCCTTCAACCATGGCTGCCTCATTTTTGTTAAAATTAAGTTGGCAAACTCTACTAACATAAATTTGTAAAAGTAACACACGTCTTTAAATTCAGTTTTGAAGTGTGCTTCTATTATCCTTTTTGGCATAGAAGAACAGAAATCCTATCAGCAGTTTAGAGTGTGGGCCCATTATGTGGTTTTGTGGTATAGCAAGCAAATAGATTTCTGGGAGGTATGGTAGATTATAGTTCAGAGTTATCATCAGCAAAGAGAATATTTGTTT